CGACATGTGAACCACACATAAGTTCAGTCTTGGAAGGCCCTTCCAATGTATTAAGGAGACCAACCAAAGTACTAACTGATAAAGCAAAGTCCTCAAAACCTTGAGCATCCCCTGATCTCAGTGGAGGTGTATGGAGAATGTTGGCAATTTCTCCCTGTACCAGTTGTCGGGGCTGCCCATAGCGATGCTGCAAAGCTTGCATGGCTCGAGTATAAGGCATGGGATCATACATGTATCTCTTAGCTATTTGGAAGGCAGCTGGTAATTTGAGATGGTCAAGTAACACTTGAAATTTATAGTCCTCTGTCAAATGGAGATGTGGGCCGAGAATGCCATCAAGTCCCTTTTTTAACAGAGCGAAATCACTCTCCTTCCCAGTAGTGAAATTAATGAGCTTAGGCTTAGCAGACTGATCTCATGAAATGGCGTATGTATGACACGCCAATTCGTATTTCCATTTTTGGCGTGCTATCAACACGCATAATCGCTTTTCAGCGTGTTTATCAACGCCTTTCACTTAACGTTATATTACTGTATTATGTATATATATAAATATATGACCTACCCCAACCCCGTCCCTAAACCTACCCGTCACTGGGGTTAATACCATTTATGAGTCTTCTCCTACCATCCTAGGAAAAGAAATATCGCTCCACAGATGTAGATATAGATTTTGTTTCGTTTCGCTCGGACATTTAACGGCGTACACATACACGCGGAATCACTCGGACATTTAATGGCGTAGACATACACGCAAAAGATTTCGGCGTGGACATACACGCGGATAGCTCAAAATGCGTATAAATAACACGCCACTTGAATTGAAAGTGGCGTGTATGTTTACGCAAAGTCATGATGTCATGTTGGGCTTAGGTATTCCATAAGCGGATGCGATAGCCATATCAATCATGCTCGGAACTTGAACTGCTGGGTGTACGGTAGAAGATAAGGGTGCTGAGTATGGCTGTTGCTGAAGTAGTGCGTCTGGGGATCTGTTAGGCCGATATCCCTGTGTGTATGGATCTGAGTAATACACAGATTGCAGTGGGGGAGGTTCTGAGTACTGAAACATCGGAGGCTGTGAAGGAGCAAATGCTGGTAATGACTGTGTGATCTGTGGTTGCACATAATTGGGATTTACAGTATTGCTCTGCACAGAGGTCATAGGAAGTGAATAAACTGGCTGTTTGCCGGTTACAGTTCGGTACACAGCAGACATGGATGTCATTGGAGGTAAGCATCGTTGTCCGAAGGACTGGACTTGTGGCTGAAATGTCTGCTCAAGATCACCAGGTTGTTGATTGACATTTGACTGATGCATTATACCTGCTGGAGCAGACTCTGGGCGTGGCACATGTAGTGCTACATGACGCTCAGTAACCGGGACAGATGCTGGACGAGACAAGGGCTTTTGAGCCTGAGGTAATAACCTTGGTGGCAGGTGGACTGGAGATTGACTATGTGGCTGAGGTAATCCTGTGGTTGATGAGTGTGCAGGTATCGTTTGAGAAAAGTACCTTGAAATTCCAAGATTACAAGGGCTTTGTGGAATTGGTCTTGTGTCTGCATAGAGAAAAGGCAGGCTGGCACTACGTTGCTGGATGGATTGTTGCTGACTGCCTGAGTGAGAGACTGACCTTTGATGTCCGGCACCTGCGGCATGAGAGTAAAGCAAATCCTGATGCATGCGTGGTGAACCTTTGCCTTGCTCAAGAGACATTTGTAATGTGCTTTGTAGTTCCTTGATTTGCTCTTGAACATTCCATACACACTCCTCCACTCTACGTAACCTTGTTGTCTCAGGGTACTGCTCAGTCAAAAGTCTATCAGGAGTAGAAGTTCGATAGTCCACATCTGGATCAGAAAAGGTCTCACTAATCTGCATTTGGCGTAAATCCTCTTGAAAGGGGGGTGGAACGAGCTGCCGTGATTGGGAATCAAGTACAAAGTCCTCCAGATGTCCAGGAATTCGTCTGATCCGGCAAGGACGGAGAGTCTGATGTTCTTCAATATAATCCTGTGATGCTGCCATGAGGATGAGATGTTGTATCCGGCTCGAAGGACCACTTTGTTAAAGATGTATGTACATTAATGGACTGGTTTGTCAACATCTCATCCTCAACCTCGGTCAGAAGGTTTGTAAGCAAATAAGTTCATGACAGCTTCAGTTCCCAAGCATTGATTTATTCCAATAAATCCACAAGTAGTTTGTTTACATGTAGTTTTATGAGTGTGGTTTCTGAAATAAATGAATAACAATGAATAAATTAAATAAACGTATCAAATATTTAACTACAATGCTGGCAAATATATATTGCAATAATAAAGCAACACTGACTTTGGGAATTGCAGTATTAGATGAAATTAAACTAATGACCACTAGGCGGAGCCCTTGCTCCAGTAATAGAACAGAGTCACAAGATTTTGCTAAACAAATAGAATGGGCCTACTCGTGATAAATCACTCTAACAACACCCTCAAACTGTAAATAGTATACTAAATGATAACATCACACAAATATTTCAGCGATCAATATCAGCATGGTTAATAAATGCATTTGCAATAAACACAGAGTGACCGTATATTTGTGCATGTCTGTTAATCGGAACTCTCTTCTTAACAATAGCATGTGCATAAATAGAACCACAAACAACAATATAGCCTTGAATAAACATACCTGCATCTACTTATACACATACACATTCACTTAAAGTATATTAATAGAAACTTACGCTGTCAAGAACGCACACACATCCAAACAAACAACGATGTCTCGTTACAGCCGCAGATATGAACTTGTCCGTGCATGTCCCGACTCCGCCCACATGTGATGTCACAGATAATTGTGACAAATTAATTGATGTCAAATTGACATCTTAATTGATGTCAAATTAAGAGTTCGACAGGGATTTTATACACTCATAATTCTTTGTCATGTGTTTGTAAACTGTGCTAGTTCCTCCTTTTTATGGTATAGATTGAACGTTTTCTTCCTCCTATGACCAGCAGATGGTGCCGGAATATAGGGCAGGCCATATCTGAACCAAAAAAACAACAACAACCAAATACAGTAATTTAGAAAGGACAGGTAAAGTAATGGTAAATGTAAAAAATAATGTTTATGTTAAAATATTATTTTAAAAAAAATGTATATAGGCTATATACAAATTATATAATAATATTATAATTCATTAAAAAAACTTTAAAATAATTCAAATCGAATTACCTTTTTAAAAAGTAGAGTAATGTACCAGGTTGCATAAACACAGCCACCATGTTAAGACCAGTCTGACCAACAGCGGGTTGGCCAAGGCCCCCAATAAGAAAAACAGACAAAAATATTGCACGCAATGCGACTGCACTTTATTATCGCTGTTATATTTAATAATGTTATCTCTTATTTCACTCTTAAGATTAGTGAATTAGTGAATTAGTGAATCCTTCAAAAAAAAAAAAAAAAAAAATTTTTTTATTAATGTCTCCTACCTCATACGTGTGTGCTTAATAGTCTATTTCTAAACACATTCTGTCTCTTTAACCAGAACTATTGTTACAATCACGACTGAAATCAAAAACAGCATTCAATCCTCGATCTTCACTCTCTCGGCCCCTCAGCTAAAATGAAATAATACTTTTAAATATGAGACCGCCAATAGGTGGCGGCAGATCACTGCCTTAATAGTAGTTCACCAAAACTGAAAATTCTGTCATCATTTACTCACCCTCAAGTTGTTCCAAACCTGTAAGAATATCTTTCTTCTGCTGAACACAAAAGATTATATTTTGAAGAATATTTTCCCCCATACTGTGGAAGTCAATGGAAGTCATCAACTGTTTAGTTATTCATATTCTTCAAAATATCTTTAAATTAAAATTTTTGGGTGAACTATCCCTATAATGAGTGACTCATTCAGCGTATAAAGCGTCTCTTCAGAAAATTTGGACTAAACTCTTACATTTATATGGTTTAGTTTTACAATCTCTTTCTGAACTTTTTGAAGCGTCAAGTGTTAGTCATGTGGAGTCTGTCAACGGAGGGACAGAAAGCTCTCAGATTTGATCAAAAAGATCTTAATTTGAGTTCCGAAGATGAACGAAAGTCTTACGGTTTTGGAACAACATGAGGGTAGACCTAAATGACAGAATTTTTGGGTGAACTGTATCCTGCTGTAAGCAGCAAAAAGGGGAGAAAAAAGAAAAAAGGTGGCATCTGAAAGTTGCGGTTGGTGGTCAGTTTGTGTGTTGTTAATGCACGTTTTCCACTTTTAATGCTTTGCAGTGTTATCCTGTTTGCATTGAGCCTCTTTCACCCACATAACATTTTCGCTCTCGCTTGCGTTGCTTTGCTTAATTGACCTTTACATGATTGTCTATTGTGGTTAGACAAGCCAGTTTGTTGTTTTTCTCTGCACTGAAAGCAGATGTATTGTGAGACTTTAGCCTAGTATGAATTCATAAATTATCTGTACATACAATTTGATCATGTATTGTATGTTGTTGGTGTGTATTGTATGTTCTGCACATGGCATTACAGCAAAACAACATACAAAACACTGAATAAAATAGTTCGCATACATGGTGACCATGCTGACTTTACCTAGCGTTGTTTTGTTGCTATCAGTTTACTTTGTGTGTGATTACACGATTAGCTGTTATCTGCAACACAATCACTGCTGTTGACATGCAGAGATGTTTATCATGTGCTTGAAAGGGGTAGTTTTTGAATGATCTAAAAATTGCATGTACATGCTGAATGTTAATCTCAGTTTCTAAAATGTTTTTTTTTCCAGTCCAAAAGCTGTGGTAAACAAGAGCATCCTTTAAAGTTTGCATCTGACACAACCTAATTTCAACAGTTTGCATCTGACCACACGTCAGAACATCTTTAACACCCCCCATAGGCCACCACCCCACCCCAAAGTGTGTTCCTTTCTTCAATTTTTTTTGCGTGTAAATGCAATTCGCATGCTGACACCTCCCACAGTTTCCTGTTGCTACCAAGTGGAACTTAAAAAAAAGGTACCACACAAGAAAAAAATCGTTACAGAGTCGTTGCACATTTCGGCACCGCACTTCTCTTAAATCTGCTCGTCTCTTTGGAAAATGCCACTAAACATCACAGACTGTAATACATCACATTTTAGATATCCACTTTTCACTTCCACCTACAGCATTGTGCTGCTGTTTGGTTTTCCTCTGAACTCTGTGTCTCTTTGGATACTGCTATGTCGAATTGGCTTGAAGAAATCCGTTCCAGTGATCTACATGGCCAACCTGGCCTTATCGGACCTTCTTTTCACGCTCTCCCTGCCCTTTCGGATCATCTACTTTGCCACAGGGCGATGGACGATGGGAAACGCTCTATGCATGATTCCAGGCACCCTCTTTGCCATCAACATCTATTCAAGCTCCTTGTTCATCACGCTGATCAGTGTGGACCGGATGCTGGCCGTGGTGTATCCCATAAGATCTCGGCCGCTCCGGACAGCACCGGTGGCCTGGGCGCTGAGTGTGACCGTGTGGGTGCTCATCGCTGGATTGGCAGTGCCGACTGCCATTAACCACCCCGAAAATGAGGACAAAGAATGTAACGTTACACGTTGTTTTGAAAAATACACACCTGACGAATGGAAAAAAGGCTTCATCATCCTCTGCTGTACCACTTTCTTCGGTATTTTAGTACCTTTCTGCATCATTCTGGGCTGTACGGTGGCAGTCGTGAAGCAGTTGAGAGGCTACAGCATGACTTCCTCGTGCAACACCGAGCTGAGCAAAAGCAAGATTGTGAATCTCTTTCTATCCAACTTGCTCATCTATGCTATTTGTTTTATCCCCTTTCACATTGCTTTCATCCTCTTAGGCCTGAGCAAAACTGAAATCTTGCCTGGAGATAATTCTCTCGAATTTTACTTTAACCTGCAAACTGTTACCATGTGCATGGCCAGCACCAACAGCTGTCTGGACCCCTTGATCTACTACTTCAGCTCAAAGAGAATACAAGGTAGGAGCAGATGCGATTCTTCGTCCAAAAGCATCGGCCTCGGCCTGGTCCAGAGCATGAGTTGGACGGGACAGTGAAGCAACAAATGATCACAATAACTTATGTTGTTGAGGTAAACAAGAGGAAATGATTACGCAAAAAGGCCAAGCCTAGAACCAAAAGCTGACTCACACAAGAGCATGTTGCACATCTCCGATCATGTGCATCGCCTGAAATCTTGCAAATTTGATTCGTTCGCTTGGCCGTCCTAAAGCTTGGTGGGTGAAAAGAGAAGAAAATGCTGAAGTGGTTCTCTTACAGGAATCAGTGCCTGCCAATGTGACATACTTTTTTTAGTGTGTTTTTGGAAAACTTGCATTGTTGCACATGTAGCAAATCATCAACAAAGCTGTATTATTGCTTTTCACTGAGAGCCAAAGGTTGTGCAAAACTCATTTCGTATTTTGCTGTGGTTCCCTTTTTCACCGCATTAGCTGCCTTTTATTGTCTACCAGCATTATCATTTGAGACTTTTTAGTTTGTCTTCTTTATTATTGTTTCTGTGTCATTGTATATTTTAACTGAGTTCCTATTTAAACAAGACTGCATTGAGGTTGTGTAGACGCATGTATATACTTTTACTTTTGTGTCATGCATTATGTTAGCAGAAATAAACCGAACATACTTCTGCAAGTTTAATCAATGACTTTTACATCTTCTCCGATGATCCCATCACTATAATGGTTCATTACTTGTAACTGACTTCAACCGAGAAGTATGAGTGTGGGTGAGGCTGGCAAAGGGGAAATGAAAGATGAATTTTTGAGTCAACAACGGGGTTAAACTCCACACCCTCTTGTGTTGTTTCACACGAGAGATCTTTTTTTTGTGGTTTGTTGGGCAAGTGCAAAAGGTCTCTTGCATGCAATCACTTAGAGTAGCTGTAATGATCGACAGAGCGCAAGTAGGTTTTTCAGCAGTTTATTGATGGATTTTACAAGCGATTATTATTTACAAAGCGAGAGCAGCAGAATAGAGTGCATCAAATCAAATGCCTCATTTACTCCAGACAAAACTTGCTACACCAGTGTGTGGAAGAGGAACAAATACATATAAATGATACAATTAGAAAAAGTGCAAGCATTCCAACTCAGACGAGGTCTAAGGATCTACCATTTGTCATGGGCGAATCGTACATAAAAAAATAAAAAGGAAAAGGAATAGCAAGAAATAGATTTTTGCACATCTGTGCCTAAGAAGATTCACCTTTAATTGACCTGCCCATTTTGATCAGTATGGACACACTGCGTTTAGAGATAACAAAACATTTCAAACCAACATCCGGTGGCTAGTTTTTCACATTTTTCTACAAACTTTATTCACACGTATTAAAGAGCAATACACAGAATATTTGAACATGATAAACCGCTCAGTTAAATCAACATTAATACAAAGAAATGGATGACAAGTTAGGAAATCCAAGAAAAGAAAACTTATATTGCTTAGATCACGTTCAAAAACCCACGCTATGACTTAAATAACGGGCTTCAAGTCACACATTTCTAAAATAATGAGGTATACATCTTTTGGCATTGAAGACAATTTTCTAATACTGGATTTCTTCTATAACGCAGGAGGAAATGAACTACAGGTCTGGACAGATGAAACAAACCACAGGAACTGGCATCAGTCTACACAAACTGAGGCTTTACAGATAAAATAAAAAAAGGAAAGACGCAAATCATTCGTCAGTGCACGCCAACGTCTAAGACTAACCTCACAGTTATTTTGGAGGAAACCTCCACAATGAAAAGAAAAGCATAAAAACGAATAACCTGAGAGTGAAATAAAACTACAGACAATGTGCTTCAGAATATGCAAATCAAAACTTCATAATATAATTTAGACAAAGACAAAACAACAGATGGCAGTATGTAACATTATGTACAGGTTTATCATGCTGATAAAGTGCTGTTAAGCTGGACAGATGGGGAAGGGTCGCTTTTGGGTTTTGCTCAGTAGAGTTGAGGAGGAAGGAGTAAAACTACAGCAGGAGTCGATCGCAAATCATCGTCTCCACCACAAACGTGTTCTCGAAGTGCCGGATGCTGTGGCAGTTCCTGGTCTCTCTCTTATCGATGTCTGGAGGAAGAAGCAGATTCAAGTTGGATTAAAAAGACGCTATCTTACAGGACATGCTGTGTAAGTGTTGGATCAACATCATAGTTTAGGATGGATTTGTGCTGCCCAGTTTGGAAAGCATGTTACAATAAAGTTTGGGTCTTTTAAAACTGTTTTTTTTAAAGAAGTCTCTTATGCTCACAAAGGCTGCATTTATTTGATCAAAAATACAGTAAAAAAAAGAAAAAAAAAAGAAGAAGTAGTAGTATTGTGAAATATTACTACAATTTAAAATAACTGCTTTCTTTTAAAGTTATTTTAGAGCAGAGCTAAATTTTCAGCATCATTTACTCCAGACTTCAGTAGCCTGGTTTCCATTACAGATTTGCGCAAAACTCTTTTGTCACAAAAAAAAAAAAAGTGTGATATTTTCTAAACGTCGATAATAAACTATTCCGAAATGATGGCGTTTCAATTATCCGTTGTTATGCGACTGAATTGTTATTTTCTGTGGCCTCCCAGACACCATCTACATAGATGAGTGAGAGGAAGACCTTGCGGAGCCAAACTACAGTTCCCACACTGCATCACTACCCACACCTCAGCCTCTGCATCACACGAGAGAGATGCCCCTCTGATCCGGCAACTCCCACAATGCATCAGATCCCTGACGTGCATCACATCCCCCTCTGTGTGGTTTCCTAACTGGAGACGTTCTGTCTGTGTACTATACAAACGTGAGTCACACTCGCACACCCACGTTCACACGCATAAATCAGGATCAATGATACCACACGCACCAGATTAAAAAGAACCCAGCACATGCCCAATATCCTCTGATAGCAATATTTCATATTAGACCAACTCCAACTCACAAAAAGAGGAAGATGTTAACAGATGTGAACAGTTAATGTGGTTGAGTTTTAACACAGAAAACGGGAACAAAATGAGAAGACAAACCAGTCACATCTGTGTGTGTGTGTGTGTGCACAGGTGCCAGTAACAAAGTATGAAAAAAAAAACAGACTTTTACATCTTCTGAACAAAATATCAGTGGTGCTCAAATATGCAAAAGCATGGATGTTGTTATACATTCACTAGGATGTAGACTTTAAAGCAAGCCTTGTGGATTTGTTCACTCTTTTTATGGCCATGCAGGCAAAAAAATGTTTTTACTTAAGAATATTCATTAGCACATCTTTTCTCAATAAGCCGAACAATTTATGAGATCATTCAAGCACATACAGAGCAGAATAAAAGAGAAAGTAGTAGGGTTACTTTATTAATTTTTTTAAGAAGTCTCTTCTGCTCACCAAATATTTCTGCCCTTCTGCTATTTGATCAAAAATACAGTATTTTGATTTATTTGATCAAAAATACAGTAATATCGTCAAATAATATTACAACTTTACATTTTCTATTTGAATATATTTTAAAAAGTAATTTATTTCTGTGATGCAAAGGTGAATTTGTGGATCACAATCCTTTAGAAATCCTTCTAATATGCTGATTTGGTGCTCAAGAAGCATTTCTTATTATTATCAATGTTGAAAACAGTTGTGCTGCTTAATATTTTTGTGGAACCCGAGTTTAGGGTACGTTTAAAAAAAAAAAGAAAAAAAAGAAAGATGAATACTTTTATTCAGCAAGGACACATTAAACTGATCAAAAGTGACAGTAAAGTTATAGTTTTACAAAAAACTTCTATTTCAAATAAATGCTGTTCATTGAACTTTCTATTCAAAGAATCCCCCAAAAATGTATCACGGTTTTCAGCCTTGATGAGCATAATGACTTTTCAAAAACATTACAAAATCGTAATTACTACAAAATATTTGAGTGATACTCTAAGTTGAACACCAAAGTTTAATACTTGGTGTTAGTGATTTGAGCAAACCCTTAAAACTAAGTATGAGCAATGATAATAAATCAATGAGGTTTGACTTAAAGTCCCCGTGAACCGGAAGTTGCAAACTACTTTTCTCCAGTGTTGTGACGTATTTCCGAGAGAAACGGAATACTAAATGAGGCAAAATGGTGGGCGTGGCTTTTTCCCCAACTAGCACCTGATTGGATCTAGAAAAGTAGGTGTTTTCATTCAGCCTGTCTACTGTCAGTTGGAGGGGCGTGATTACGGCTGTTAAGCAGACACCCAAACCGTCAAACCTACGTCATCAGGCAAGGTCCTCCAACGCAGAGGGGAGGGGAAATTTCAGATTTTGATTAAAGATTACGAAGCCAAAAAAAATTTTTGTGTGGATTGACTTGCATGGATGAATTGTTCACCACAAAACGATCAATTTAGGCAAACAAAGTAAGTATGGTCAATTTTGAATTCATGGGGACTTTAAACACCAATAATAGATAAAGAAGTCATGAAACTCACGTTTTTGGCCACTACGGCGTCTCAGTCTGTAGGTTTCTTTCCCGTAACAGAGCCGGTGGATGAAGGGTCCCAGCTGACGCATGTTCCGAACACGTCCCGTCACCACCATCTCCTCCTGAATGATGTATGTCTGGGGCAAATACATCCCCCGCTGCAGAAACACAAATACATACAAACGGTCACATGGGACTGCAGGCTTCATTCCATCAACATTGATACATTGGCTATGACGAACCAAACATTAGAAATCTGTGTCACCTCTGCAAGGGAAGTGACAAGTTCTGTTTAAGGGATCCACACATTTTGGAAAATGAAATTCCATGATTTTTTCCTTCATTTTTGAAATAAAAATATATACATTACAAGAAATGTGTGTGTGTAAAATTTAATAAATAAAATGTATATAAAATTTTGTAAATTTACTTTTTTTTCCTTTTTACACACACACACACACACACACACACACACACACATATATATATATATATATATATATATATATATGTGTGTGTGTGTGTGTAAAAAGGAAAAAAAAGTAAATTTACAAAATTTTATATACATTTTATTTATTTATTAAATTTTCTGAAAATATATAAAAATGTCTATTTATAAAAGGCATTTCCAAGACACTACCCTGATTTATCATTATTTTAAAAATTCCCTGATTTTTCCAGGTTTTCCATGATCATAGGATTAGGTCCTTGGCTTGTGGATACAATTTTTTTTTTTTTTTTACAATTAATTTCTGAAGGTGCATTTTTAACCTTTCATATTTGATATTTCAGAAATAAAGGCTGCACATCAAATGTGTGACTCACGAACTGAGACCTTTTGTTCAAGAGTTACATAAAATGTTATGCAATCTGTTACCTTGACATTAACAAGCATCTCCCACAGGTTCCTGGGCGGCATGACGATTGTCGTGTTGAGTTCAATGACGTAGCATTTATCCAACGCAATGTCGTAGTAAGCTGTGAGTCCCTGTGTTAATGAGAAACACATCCGTTAAAAACGACTCTAGAACTCGCAAAATCATTTGAGACGTTCATATTGAGGTTTAATACATACACTGACTACTGTTTAAAAGTTTGGGGGGGTCAGTAAGAGTTTTTATTATTTAATACTTTTTACTCAGCAAGACACATCTAATTGATCAAAAGTGACAGTATAGACAATCATAATATCACAAAAGATTTCCATTTCCAAAAAATGCTGTTCTTTTGAACTTTCTATGCATCCATATAATGATTTCAACAAAAATACTAACAGTTTTTTTCAACATGATAATAATATTTAATGTTTCTTGAGCAGCATATCAGCATATTAGAATAATTCCTGAAGGATCATGTGACACTGAAGACTGGAGTAATGATCCTGAAAATTCAGCTTTGCATCACAGTATAAAATTGCATTTTTAAATATTCAAATAGAAATCACCTATTTTGAATGGTAATAATATTTCACAATATATTGTTTTTACCGAGTTTCTGATCAGTTAAACCCATATGGGAGAACAAAATGTTCTGCTTTCTACCAGACTGACATGGACTTATAGCTGCCGGGGAACTTGGGAATGTGTCTTTCACAGAAACATTTGCTTGTACTCCTGTGCCTGGCACATTGCGCTGAATATTAAACAATGATTTCAGCAGACAAAAGGTTTCCTCAGAGATGGTTCACAGTCCATCTGGGGAAGCAGTGATGACTAACGTCGTCTTTAGCACAGCCAAAGAACTAGAAGAAACTGTACCAGATCTAAACGGGCAGAACTTCACTTCAAGTGCTTCTTGGAAAGATCCTCACCCTGTGAAAGTCGTGAATGATGTCGGCCGGGTCACTGCTTCCGAAGTCGGGCACAGGCACGCTGATCTGCTCGTAGTTATCATCCAGGTAGATGCCAACGTTTTCCTCGATCTCCTGCCGTCCGAGTAACGGGGCGAACAGGGGGTCCTCGTACATCACCCGACAGTGGAACAAACTATCTTCTGGGATCTGGGGAAAGAAAGCGGAGCGGTTTAATAAAGGGCACTTGAACTACTCTAGTGAATGGAAAGCCGAGTAAAAGATCCAGCAAGCGTTGCTATGGTGATCGCTATGGCAATGAACTTCAATAGTCTTGTTTGTGAATAAAAGACGATTAACAGATTCGATGGCGTCTAGAGTCTCACCTGAGGGCTGTAGTAGTATCTGTACAGGCATACAGATGCCATGATCAAGCCTGACAGGAAGATCACAAGGCCGAGCACGACGCACCAAAGGCCACTAAAGGGAGACTTCTTAGATCTTACTGGAAGCACCAACTCATCCTTCTGGGAAACACAAAACAAATTCAGTTAGCACTTGGGATGCTTTTCATAGGCTTTTTGGGTCTGGGCTGATTCATACTTGACAAAACAAGTCAAATATACCATGCATGTTTACTTTAATTTTAAATTACATTTACACGACAATGATGTACTAAAAACGGAAACGTTTTTCCATTGCATTTTTTTCGTACAGACACAAATTTTTTTCCCCGTTCACACGGATCTGCAAAAAAACGATTAAAAACGCTGCCAGGCCAGTAGTTGGCATTGTCAGTTTGTAAAGAAACACAACACACCTATAGTCTGAACACATAATACACATACGTGCATGACGTCACCGTTTTCACAAATTCACGTTTTTGTAGTTTACACAGAGACTAAAAAGGGTCTAGTTTTCAAAAACTTGCACTTTGAAATCCGTTTTCAAAAGTTTGCGTTTTCAGGCCCACAAAACACAACTTTCGTGCAAATGAAGTCTTGTGCAAACGGCCCCTTAAGAGTTTATCTACAGATCTCAGTTTTTTTTTAGCCTATACCAATATCTGTATGTGCAAGCTCCCAAAAATCACTCTCTCCAAAAGATCATTTTCTTACTCAGCATTTTCCCCCAGTATAACTAAACATTCTTTAATCAAGATACATTTACTTGAGATGCAAAATGACCTAAGATAATAAAAAGATGGTTCACCCAAAAAAATTTAAAATGGTAATTTTTCAAACCCATAATACTTTGGATAATCTATAAAACACAAATTAGGATATTTTTTATGAAAACAGAGGTTTTTCCTGTCCCTCCATTGAAAGTCCAGGTAGCCAAAACTGACAAGATATGCAATGCACAAAGTATGTGTGTTTATATGAGGATAAAATAAAACTATCATCATATGAATCTATTATTAATATATCGTATGAATTTGAATTGCACTGAAATCCAACTAATATGTCACTTGCATAATAACTTGGAACACAGCGTATATTTGTAATGAAAACAAGACAAAAGTACAAAGTAAGAAAACCATTTCCACAGTGCTTTACTTTCAGCATCTAACTGCGCCATGAAAATTAGTCACAGCAGCGTCTCAAGACGTCAGGTGGCGTGAGCAATCCATCCGCCTCCAGTCTCTCAGAGACGCTGGTGCCGAGGACACCAGCTCGGATCAGCCCACGCAAGCTCTGGATCATCGTGAATCAAACAGACTGCTGACAGAGCTACTATCTACGCCTGGCAGAGCGATATTTTTAGGCATGTACTGTACTTCCAATCCACGCTCCTTATTTGTACAGGAGTTCCTCTCTACGTAGGGAGGACACACAGTAGCAGTGAGTAGGAGACAGTGTGTGGGTACCAGGCTGAAAATAACAGCACTAGAATCAGACTGGATGAATCCACGTCATTTTCACTCTAGTAGGGAAAATTAATGCAGGCACATGAGGTCAAATTGAAAATGTGACGCACTTGCGTCGCTCACAAATGTCCCAGTTTGTAATGCATTTAGATTTCAGATACTCTGAGCTGATTTCTGATAAATGGTACTTTGTTATTTTGGGTATAAGCCTTTTAGTTACAACCCCAAAGATTTGATGCATATTTACAGCCTGCAATGACATTGAATTGATGCATTCTTAGAAATGAGAAAATTGTGAAATCTGCTCTCAGCATCATATTCCTATGAGCGTCAGACAAAAAAGAAAAAAAAAAAGAAAAAAAGGATATCAAGCATCCATTTTGTGAAGGCAAAGATCCTATTTCACCCCAGTTGGCAGGATCAAGCGTGTGCCTATCCGGGTTAGAGCGAGTACTGAGTGTTCCAGGCACATAAAAACAAAAAGCTGCGGTCATCTGCTCTGTTACAGCTCAAGTCAAGTGGCGATAAAAGGATTTGCAGTTAAATAACTAGGCCTATTACTATCATGGGAACACACGGCAGGCATCAATATAGAGAACACACACAAGACACACAAACGTAGCTCAAGACCATTTGTTCGGCACTAATCTGCAGTGCCGGATACACACTGAGGGATGATGATGTAATGTAATGTCATCCTGTTGTGCATCTCAATACTGGCTTGCATCCATCAGCTGTAAACCAATGCAGAACTCCATGTCTAAGTCTGTCAAAGTGTTTAATACTGTATGCTTTTATTTTAATTCATTCATAAATCTATGAGCCGTTCAGTTAGAAATAAGCCATCTGATACTTATTATCAGTCTGTAATAATAGAATAAAGACAGAAACTCATGCACTCTCATAAATGAGAAAATTCTGAATTCTGCAGTCAGCATCATTTTCCTCTCTGGCGATTAGAACACGGAGACAAAAGAATGGATGTTTACCTGTGCATCTCAATACTGGCTCACATCTATCAAGTGCAACCCATTGAAGAATTATCTCCTCACAAGCCTGACAAAGTAAATAATAATAGTATATAATTGCATTAATTTGATAATAATTATTATTATTGTATATTATATTATATACCCATTACAGTTGTTCCACCTGAACGCCTAATTGGTTTAGACTAGATAAATAAAAGGCAATGACAAAGCCCAATTATTATTAAAAAAAAATTCTTAAAAAAAAAATTAAAATAACAATAAATGCTTGTAGCATTTTTGATTCCGTTTTGCAGGGAGGAACATGACAAAACAAAAGACGGTTTCACTGCAGACAACAAAACAAAGACAATAATGCATTTAAATAGGAAGCTATAACTCACGTGAGAGTAAGGCATGTGAATTTCCTCTTTGTCTCCATCGTTCTCCTTTTCCGGCTTCTGTACAGTTACTTGTTGAAACGATATCTTCACCATTTTGACGTTTCTTCCTACTCTTCTGCGGTTAGGACGTCCAGTAGTGATTGAACCACCAAGGACGGTTCTGAGCTGTGAATGAAACGCTCGACAGAGGGCGAACTTAAAGAGGATTCCCTCGCTTCCGGTACACACTTCAAAGTAAGAGTCCACCAATCGGCGTCTATTCTCTAAAATTAGTATCACTCACAATTTCCACATAAAAAAAAAAAAACGGTCTCGTCTTTTAACCCTTTCAAATCCGAATTATGTTGCAAGGGACAAAAAAATTATATGCTTTGTTTTACTCTAAATGCAACCATTTATCATTTTTTTTGTGGGGGGGGGGGGGGGGGGGGGGGGGGGGATAATTTGAATAGTTATTTCTAATGTCTATTTTTTAATTAAAAAAAACACTGCTTAAACATGCAGATTATTATACATATGAATTTGTTTTGTTATTCCAAGAAAAGTATTTTTTTTCCACACAGTGCCACACCACCAAAAAGAGAAACGCATTGAGTGTCCATGCACAAGTATGATCCATCTATCCAACCATTCTTTCTTTTAAGATTTTCATTCTTCATTTTTCCCCATAAGAATTTTACTGAGATCACATATAGCATTTTTTTTCTGTAGTATACAGAATACCCCTTCGTGCTTAAAAATCTAATAATAATAATATTAAATGTAACTCTTCAATTTGATATTACTGGTACAGTTTAAAGATACAATTATTATTTTCTATTGTATCATCATTATGCATTGATGTACTGATATTTTAATTATGTTCATACATTGTTGAGATATACATTTAATTTGTAATTTGCATAATTAACAATTTGCCAAAATACTTACCTTGAATGATGTGTCAAAAAGCTTATTTCACCATAAATGTGATCATACTTTAACAGGATATATATACATAATTATACATAATTTGATAATTTCCACAGATTTAAAATAACATGAAACCCAGCCCCTCATCTCCGCTTGGTTACGTCTTGGACTTTTATTGTAGAAATTTCCACAAATGGATGTCCATTCCGGTTCTATTTTAGCCGTTTACGGTGCTCTACTACGCGTTCTGATTTGCATCAGACTGCCGGAAGTCAATAAATAACTTGACACTGATTAATGCTTTTTATGGCTATGATGCAGGTTATAATATACATTATAATATACAAACAGCGCAAATAAATAATAATCAAGTGTTTTCAAGCTATGAAAAATAGAATCGTTTTGAATTTCATGTTTTATCTTAGCACTTTGGGGTTATCATTTTAAAAGATGGATGTGGTGGGATTAGACGGGATTTTGTTGAACGTCCATTTAATTAACAAATGAAGTAAACAACGGCATGTCGTCAAATGTAGTCTATTAAATGTAATATGAAATATTAAAATGAGGCAAACAATGGGATTTGCTATCTGGGGTAAATATAGGCTACCCGGCCTATTTATTATTTTATTTATGTAAATATGATATTGAATTGTGTAGTTTAGTTTTCAGTAGTCCTACATGATTGTTACCTTTTAACACAACAGTATGGCTGCTCTCTTTTTCATATGCTTTGCATTACATGTAGCTTCATAGATGGCCTCATAAACAAGCATTGAGGATGTCCTACGCACGCTGGGGGTAAAGCAGGACGCATTGATGGGAATAGCGCCGTGATTGTGCACTGAATTCCAGTAGAGGGAGCATTTTTGCAATTTAGGTTATGTAAGCCTATTTGCCATTTAGGCTATTTGATTATAGGCCTATTTATCCTCGGCTCTTAGTAAGATATAGGGTCAGGATAAGCAATAGGAAGTCAGAGTTTATAGTGTAGGGCTATACAAACATGTCAACCTCATGACGTGTGACAGATGAAGTGGCTTTAAGAACTACCTGTCCCATTTGCTTTGATAATGATAAATACTATCTCTACAGCTGAAGTTTCCCCATTCTATCTCTTCTATGAGGTCACTTCTCATTCCATGTCCCTTTACCTTTCTGAAGAGTTTAATTCCATCTGTAATTTCCAAGACAGCATCAAGTTTCAACCCTCTAAACTTTAAAACCTATACGTTTAATTATTCGATTTTGGGAGTGAAAATAAATAGGCCTAAATAAAATGGTTCCACAGTTAAAAGCGAGAAAATTTTGTTGAAAAACTATAATATGATGTTGAAGTTTAATAGGAATAAATCTGAAAATATCTATAAATTTGACACAATTTAATCTATAACATATAGCATTATTATATTCATATACATAATACTACTAATATTAGCTACTTGCAGTATATTTTACTTTAAGAAAAATATGATAGAAAATGTAAGACTTCAAACATAAAAAATTAACAATAAACCATTAAGTTTTTTTGTTTGTTTTTTTGACAGGCGAATACCCGTCAATGAAAACAGTGTAACAAAGAAACAGTGTCCCTGAAAGACATTTATTTAGTCTCTCAATAAATTATTCCAACTTATTGACCCTGGTTGTTATTTTTAAAGGGCAGTATGACATCTATCTATCTATCTATCTATCTATCTATCTATCTATCTATCTATCTATCTATCTATCTATCTATCTATCTATCTATCTATCTATCTATCTATCTATCTATCTATCTATCTATCTATCTATCTATCTATCTATCTCTATCTATCTATCTAAACTGGGAGGTTTTCCCTGTCCCTCCATTGAAAGTCCAGCCAAAACTGACAAGATATGCAATGCACAAAGTATGTGTTTATATGAGGATTTTAAACTATATCATATAAATCTATTATTAATTATATTAATTTTTATTTTACTGAAATCCAACTAATATGTCACTTGCATAATAGTTCGGAACAAATCGTATATTAGTAATGAAAACAAAAGTACAAAGTAAGAAAACCATTTTTGATAGAAAAGGTAAGCTTAAGGACTTCAAACATCAAAAGAATTAACAATAAACCATTAACAGGTTTTTTTAAAGGGAATAGCCGTCAATGAAAAGTGCAACAAAGAAACAGTGTCCCTGAAAGACATTAATTTTGCCTCTCAATAAATTATTCTAACTTATTGTCCCTGATTGTTATTTTTTAAGGGCAGTAGTATGACATCTCTATCTATCTATCTATCTATCTATCTATCTATCTATCTATCTATCTATCTATCTATCTATCTATCTATCTATCTATCTATCTATCTATCTATCTATCTATCTATCTATCTATCTATCTATTATTTCTAATCTAGCTAATCTATCTATCTAATATTTCTAATCTACCTATCTATCAAGGGTAGTTGAGCTTAATTTTATTCAGTAAATTGTCCTTATGGTCCATGCAGGTTCACAGGGTGGGTTGGTTTACAGTGCACAGACAAAGGCATGGCTGTTGATTGGTTGCCAGTCGGTCCATTCACATGTAAATCAGACCTCATAAATGTCCCTCTTCAATCGCCCACTTTACACAGTATATGTAGTGCTTGTTAGCGCAGACTTTTGTCTCGAATTGAACCCGCCGACCATCTGCCCCCCATTCAGGCGTCCTCTCAGCGGTCTCAACTGCAGCAATATGGCCCCTGCGTCCCGCAGCAACAGCCACGAGGAGGACTATTACGGGATAAAAGACAGAAAGGTACGCAACACGTCTTTTTAGTAGCACAAGGAAAAGTTTATCGACGGTTTCCCGCAACTTAACCGCATTTCTCCCTCTCCCTTCAGACGAGGAAACCGCTGGTGGAGAAAAAGAGACGCGCCCGAATAAATGAAAGTTTACAGGAGCTGAGGCTACTGCTAGCCGACCCGGATGTAAGTTCATTTATCACTTCTTAAAGCATCTGTATCCACCGCCAACATACAGTGCAACAAGAGAGTCTTACTAACATCGCACTTTGCGTCATTTTTTGTAGGCGCAGGTGAAAATGGAGAATGCCGAGGTGTTGGAAATGACCGTCAAGCGCGTGGAAAGTATTCTACAAAACAAAGCGACGGGTAAGAGCTGTTTCAAGATCAAGTTTCATACAGGCCGCATTTAAAATGTGTCTAGCCTATTTGGGTGGTGACGTCATGCCGCTTTTCTCCTCCGCAGAGGCTGACAGCGTGAACCGCGAAGCTAACGAGCGATTCGCCGCGGGCTACATCCAGTGCATGCACGAGGTGCACACCTTCGTGTCCAGCTGCCCGGGCATCGACGCGACCATAGCCGCCGAACTGCTGAACCACCTCCTGCAGTGCATGCCTCTGAACGACGAGGATCGCTTTCAGGACATCCTGTCAGACCTCATGACGGACTCTAGCAACGGAGACAGGAGCACCTCCTCTGCCTTGTCCCCGGCCCCTTCAACCACCTCCTCCAGCAGCGATGACCTTTGCTCTGACCTGGATGAGACGGACACGGAGCAAAGCCGCATCTCGGTGGATGCGAGGGATCAAGCGCCAAGCATGTACCTCTCCAAGGCCATCTGGAGACCCTGGTAGACAGATGCGCACCCCTGTCGATTCATGAACATTTGAGTGTATTGTTTTTTTAGTTTAGAGCTATTAAAACCTGCAGTAGTCCAGGATTGAGCACCTTTGTTGTAGACAGTTCTACAGTTGGAATAGGGCAGCTGCAACGTTGCTTTTTTTGTCATTTGTCATCGACCAGTGGATACCCCTCAGAAAGCTCTTCTTGGTGCAACAGTGTGCATTTCAATCCAGTTTCACACAGTTAGTTAGTGTTTTTATTTAATTGTTTTCTTTTGTATAAGCTAAGTTAAAACAACACTGTAAGGATAAATAATAATATTTAGGGAGTGTCTTCCCATCTCTAATTATTTTACACTCTTAAAATTAATGGGTATTTATTGGCATTAATGGTTCCATGAAGAACCGTTAACATCCATGAAATCTTTCCATTGCACAAGTTTCTATATAGTTTTTTTTTTAAGATTATTACTAAAAATTGGTTATTTTAAGAACTGTTCACTGAAATGTTCTAAATGTGGAACTCAAAGTTCTTTATGGCATCACTGTGAAAATCCCTTGTGGAACCTTTATTTTTAAGAGTGTGGGGTAGGATGTAAATATTTCAATGTCGTGGCTGTAGATATAGATCTCTGACATTTAAACGTAGCCTATGTAATCTTTGTGATAAAGGAATTTAAAATAA